TGTGGGGATTGAGGGTGGAAATTCAAAAGATGAAACCTCAAAACATATCTAGGAGAGAGATGTCGAATCGTGTCATGTGGATTCTGTCGAATGGTTTGCTTGCCCCAACTGGTTCATACCCAATATATAATCACTTCTGAGAAGTGTGTACTGAAAGCAGCTCAAGAACCCTGGTGTCCAACCATTCTTACATACTTTATCCAGATTTTTGATGAATATAGGCAAAAGGAGGGATTGCTTGCTATCCAACAACAGCTCCAGGAAACAGAAATGAGGGGAAAAAAAATGAACAATCTGAGAAAAGGGATAGGAATCGGATAATGAAGATAGATGTTAGATACTGACTGGATTTCATCCTGCACTAAAAGCACTTCACTATATAACTAACAAAAAACTCTACACTGGATACTTCTTAATCCTGGCCATTGTGTTTGGTTGTTAGACTTATGCTCTCTATCTTTCATTAAAACTTTTGTCTAAAACACTTTTTATTATTTTTTTTTTAAACTGTCTGCTTTGCTCTGCTTGGTAAACTTCTGTTCTACTTGCTATTTGTCAACCATCGTTTAAATATACTATGCTTGTATGTTCAATTGTGTTCTTTATCCTGTGAGATGATCTTTTTCTTTTTGTTTAATGCCCAAAACCCAAAAGGGGAAAGAAAGTTTAAGTTAATAAATGCAGGCGTATAGGATGGCCATCAAAAAAGAGAGGGAACGATGTGTGAAAGGAGGAAGCAAACATAACAATTGTGTTTTTTTTATGAGTCCTTTTTGCATTTCTTCTGAACAGGTTCATATTAAGCGATTATTACCACCATTTACAATATACTGAAATGAATATTTTAAATAGTAGGTAGATAAATATGTGTTTGTTCCTTATCTTCTAAAGTAGAAAATGGAAAATTGATTTTTATTTTTTATTTTAATTAAACAAAATCAAAGTCAATTGTTTATTAGATTTGTTTTTATAGAAAATGAAAAATCTGGAGAGCACAAGAAGAAGCAATAGAAATAAGAAGAAAAAAACAGAAGAAAGGAGGAAGAGGAGAGAAGAAAGAAGGAGAAAAAGCAGAAAAGCAAACAAATTTGATAGCACTAGCTAAAACAAAAACAAAAAGCTCAAAGAAGAGGAAAAAAAAGACCACTCCATACTTGACTCTCAATAAACGTGGAAAAGTTGTTGGTCCATGTTTGGTTTTCTTACTGTGATATTTCACATTGAGGTTGTAATCTAGCCTTGTTGTTTTTACTGTTAAAATCTGATTCCTACTCTGTTGTTGTTGTTGTGTAGGCAAGTGATTATGTGTTATCACTTGTTTAGACTCAATTTTTTATTGTATAAAGAGTTTAGGTTTATTTAGGTGAAACTTTGTAAATCTGGAGAAAAACTTTACTTCACACTTGAAAATCCTTTCAAATTTAGGTTGTTTGGAGAAAGAAGACCTAGATGTGTATTTTTTTTAACTCACTTGAAATCAAAACTAGTATATAAATTCTTGTGTTGTGAGTCTTATTCTCTTTTTCTTTGCTTAATTTTTATATCTTCGAAAAGATTGCCAAGGTTTAGTGATGAAATACTATCATCACATAATTTTTGAGAAAAGAAATGTAACAAAAAAACTTTTTTTTTAACCAATTCACCCCTTTTGATTTGAGTTATCATTGGCACTAAAACAAAAAAAATAACATATTTAAGTTTAAATAAATATGCTATTTTCAAATAAACATAAGAGAAATAGAGATGTTGCTAGTTGTTATTTTAAAAAAAAAATAATGAAGTATTATTTTTATTAAAGCCAACATGAATGTCATTTTTTAACATAGTGTGAGTGAGGTAAATGCAATCTTATCTATTAAAAAAATATTGTTTTGATGATTATTATTAAATAAAATGTTTGATGTATGTGATAAGAATTTTTTAAATACAATTTTTCTATTATTAAAAAAGAAAATTTATAGTTTTTATTTTTTAAAAATTTTAAATTGCGATTTTTAAAATATGAAAAATTTCGTTTCAGTTTTTTTTAATTATAAATACTAAAACTTTTGAGATCATATTAATAAATGATAAAAATACAAACTTTTCATTATGTTGTTACTTTTTCCTTTAAAAAAAAATAAAGATATTACCAAGGTATTATATATATAAAAATTTTCATTCTCTTCCTAAAATTAAGTAGAGCCAATAATGTCAATAATTTTTTCGTTCATACTAAATACTTAATTTCTATATTTATTATTGACAATACATGGAACTATTGTTATTGCTCATCTTCTTAAAATATTATAAGAATTAGAATCAATAGTGTAATAATTTCTAAATCAAAAAAAATAATTGGAAATGAAATTCGTCCTTGTGTGTTTAAATTATTAATAAAAGACTTTAAAAACTTTTATAAAAAAATGTATGACAAAGTAAAAATTATGATAATCATGAGGAATTTTGTTGAAATACTCTTGGGCCCGATTCCCACCTAATAATCTCTAAATAATCCCTAGACAACGAGCACGTTGCATATACATACCCAAAAACTGCCAGGAAGAATCTGAGGAGGGAAAGTTAAATGTTACACAAAATACAATTTAGTTTTGATTGGATCTAAATTTTTAGAGTGTTATTTCAATTGCAATAGTTGGATTTTGGAATAAAAATTGAATGGATGAAATTTCATGTGTCTAAAAGACGTGTGAGAACCCAAAAAAAGACTGGGAGATGGGGGATGGAAGGAGGAAAAGGAGGGAAAGGGGGGAGAAGGGGGGAAAGGAAGGAGAAAAAGGGGAGAAAAAGGGGGGGAAGAGGGGAGGAGATGGAAAAAGGGGGGGGGAAAAGGGAAGGGGGGGGGGGGAAATGAAAAAAAAAAAAAAAAAAAAAAAAAAAAAAAAAAAAAAAAAAAAAAAAAAAAAAAAAAAAAAAAAAAAAAAAAAGAAAAAAAAAAAAAAAAAAAAAAAAAAAAAAAAAAAAAAAAAAAAAAAAAAAAAACAAAAAAAAAAAAAGAAAAAAAAAAAAAAAAAAAAAAAAAAAAAAAAAAAAAAAAACAAAAAAAAAAAAAAAAAAAAAAAAAAAAAAAAAAAAAAAAAAACAAAAACAAAAAAAAAAACTGACCTTGACCAAACTTAAAAGCTCCACCGGTCCAATTGTGATTGTGCTTCAGACATTTCTTTCTGTGCCTTCTTTCGTCGATAAAAGATTGGACAATCCCGACTACACCAAATTAGTACACGATATGTCAATGGTAACAGTCTAACAATGAGAAACCAAACCACAAACGAAATTACTAGTTCTTTTACAAAAACCATAAAAGATAGATGGAAAAACACGAGTAAGAAACCAAGAAATCACAATAATTTGACACTTTTTATGCCTGGGCATTGAACAAGCCGGAGACTAGGGGGGTAAAAAACACCCTAACTCCAGGATGTTGATTAATTAATACGGTGATGCGGTGCCTCTTAAAACCAAAAATTTGAGAACCCTAGCCATCCAAGCAATTTCACTAAATGGACATACCTTGTGCAGAGAATATCTTGATGAAGTGAACCTTGGCACTCCTGACACTGTGTCCACAACTTCCCAAAATGCATCTCCAGCTCAGACACTACAACCACAATACCAATTGTTGTGACTTTTGTCCTTTAAAAAATAACTGTAACCATCCTGTACACAAAACCAAAACCATTTCAAATTGTAGAGATGCAACGGATGCCCTACCTCGAGATACCGTTTTACAATATAGCTCAGCTTCCCTTCCTTTGCAATGTGAACAGACGGTGTGATGATCCTTCCTGAACCAAATGCAACAAAAATTTATTACACCTTCAGTATATTGGCATACCCTCGTGCATTATTATATAATACATACAAATAATTTTCAACATTAGATGTCTTAAAAGACAAGGCACAAGTATTATCAGGTATTTTAATAGCGGAAATACAACTTGAAGCCTATAGGTGTAAACTGCAGAGGTTTTCATCTCCATCCCACGACAACAGTTAGTCCCTTATTCTTATGATTCGTACAACATCTGAACAATCTTGCTTTCCGGTCAACACTACGGGAAACCAAATCAAAATTTCAGTTTCTAACGTAGACCAATACCACCTACGCAAAATGTCATTTCACAGGTAGTATCTACAGAAACATTATCGAGATATAGGGAATAAGTTACTGTGCTCATTAACATAATGTGCTATTTTTTGGAAGGGTCTTGTGTTCATTTCCATAAAGCACGTATATCTTCATAAAGTTGGTAACATGAACGGGTTCATAACAATTCCATAATATATTGCTGGACTATATAATACATTTAAAATCTATAGAAAATCTCTCAAATATACAGCTTAAATATTGAAAATGTTAGTATGTACATAAATGTTAATTCTTTGTAGTTCCTATGTTTTTTCTTTACAAAAATATAATGAAGCAAACACAAAAAAGGGGGAATATATGAAATTAAAATCAACCAGGAAAAATCTTAGAACTTTAAGACAACACAACGAAAAGATGGGTGAGATAGATACCCTAATACAGCTTTACAGCCAATGCAGGTAAGCTCTTTCTTAGTAAATTTCCATAAGCCACTATTTGACGGAGTAGAAATAGAAATAGATCTTGTATGACTTCCATGGAGAAGTTCTCTGCTAGCATTCTTCAGAATTGGCTCAAAAATTCTGAGGATCGGCTGCAATACAATGAAACTAATAAGAACAGCAATTTGTAGAAATCCAAAACATCTAAGGAAGTGATAAACTAACCTTGCTAATTTGATTCTCAAGATAGTATTGAGCATCTATTGGTATGTTGTTCTCTAGAACATAAATAGGGTCCTCTGATTTCTCATATGCCTGATTTTCTTAAACATGTTAGTCTAGAGAAAATCTAAACAAATGTTTAAAAAACTAAGAAAATGAGAGGGGAACATGTGGTATTACCTTCGCACCTTTTGCACCTTTGATAATTACATAAGGTACTCTGTCTCCAACATTTGGAGCAGTGGCAGCATCTCGCTGTCAATTATAAAATCAAATAAAATACACTTATGACCCACAAAACTGACATGACAAGCTCAATAAGCCTAAAAACAAACCTAAACCCAGTAACAATACTGTATAGTTCCACCAATAAGTTAACAAACATTGAAACTTCAATGTACAGGACCCAAGAGGTAACCATAGAATCCAACATCCAAATTAAAAATAATTCATGGTAATTGTTGTAAATAGTTGTTTATTAAGATAAGAATATCTCCAGCATACGAACTTGATTAGGAGATAATATGCTTAAAGTATTCTTATTTATATTAGCATTTTTTTTTTAATTTTAAAGAGATTGTTTGTTACAAATAGAATTAAGAGTGTATTTGGTGTGATTGTTATGAATAAATTATTTCTTATTTCCCTTCATAGTTCAAGTGCACTTAAAGATTTCATGTTTTGGCACATATAGTGCAAATGATCATGTACTATAACACTGGCTTCTTTTTTCTTTGCCACAAGAATCTAATTTTTCAAAAAACAAACGAGTGAAGACAGAACCATCAATATATTTGATTATATCTAGCCAACCTTGCGCATCCTTTCAGCAAGTTCAACATGAGCTGCCTTTACTTCATAATCATCTCCTGTCTTTGTTAAACCCTGTTAAAGCAAGCATGTTAGCTCCAAGTTCAAAGGAATTATTTTGGTAATGCACTCCCATCAAATATCTGAATGCTCCACTAAAAGCAAACAGCAAAGAAACACCATTGTATGGTCTGTAGATTCAAAAGACCTCCCACCTTTGTAATAACCAACAGTGATAAATCCATACGATTCCTGAGTAGATCTGAAATTGCGTTCTTGACATACTGGACAGCCCCTGGAATGTCCCTGTCAATCAGTATTTTGTGAAGACAATCATTCACCAGGTTTTTGACCAACAAACAATTGTCTCTTCGAACTGTTTCAATACCTGTTCAATGCAAATTTAGTTTAATAGGCACTTCAGCAAATCAAGAGGACGGGAAAGAATAATGTTTACCTTTAGTGTCCATTTTGTCGAACTTGTCTGGTTTTGTCCAAAACAAACCAGCATATCTCTTCTTGCTAATCAAGAGATATGGATAATAAACCTTCTCAAATTCTAGCTTGATGGGCTTCACAATCAAAACAACAACAAATAAGTAAGGACAAATCAATATAGCAAATAAAATAATAAGTTTTATAGAATTAATACTAGAGATACTGAATCAGAAGCTTAAACAATCTGCAGACGAAAACCTCTAGACTAGCTGCAAATTTTATGAAGTTGTAATTAACGTGAATATAAATTCAGAAATAACATTATAATTGCTGAATCTAGACTATTTGAGAAACCATATAAATTTTTGTTCCATATTTGAAGAATCTGGAATTATTGGAATAATCAAATTGAGCATATGTTGTTTTGTAGTACATTTAGGGGCTCATTTTTAAGGGAATCTTGTGCAAATAAAAAACAAAGTGATGTTAGAATCAATTGTTACTTCGTTGTTTGGAGAAAATAAAAACATTTTTCCTTATTATGAAAATAAGTGATGCATGAAAATCAATTATCTATCAAGAAAAACACAACAGTTTTGAAGTCTAGAAATCCATCACTTTCGCAGGCTATCATAAAAGAATAAAATAAAATGCAAAAATAAACTGTTACTTTTGTGAAAGTTCCACTTATATATTCGGCAGCTTCTCGCCCCAAGTTCATGGCCTGTTCTACTGCAGAAACACCAAATTGTACCATGACTGAATCCGTGTCTCCATATATTACCTAGTAGCAAGAATAACATTACTTTGCAAGATATTTTCCATTAAGGTGGTAAAGCACGTTAAAAAAAGATATGACTACATTAAATTTAAGAAAACGAATGCATAACTGGAAGAGTAAAATTTATTGGCAAGGATCGAAAGTTTATATTGTTGGTTCAATGTTAAATTCCCCAGACTAAAATGCAATAACAAGGACTGTTAAAATATAAGAGAAAGTGGCATAGGATGAATCCCTAATGTGTGTTGCGCACATAGTGTTATGCATTTATAAATAGAAAAATACAAAGAGATGAACCTAAGCTCGCTACATTTAAAACTAACACATAGTATTATAACTAACAATATCTAATAATATCTTAACCATATCTAAAAAGGATCAATAAAAACACCCAAGATAGCTTCAACTTCTAACCCATGAAACACCATTGAGAATGACAGGTATCAAAACAATACATTTTCTAAATATTATACCTCAGCATTGTGTTCATAGCCATTAAGTGTCGTGAATTTATCTTCCACAAGTTTTTTTGTGTGCTCAATCATTTGTCGACCTTTACAGGCATCCAATGAAACATAATCAGAACTCAATGAAGATGTTATTTAAATTCAACAAAAAGATAATTTAAAAGCACACCAAACAAACTAAGAGATGAAAGCAATACCATAGCTTGTTACACTCGATGATATCTCTAAACATGGTAACTGACCAATGGTAGCCCCAGTAAACCCATAGACGGAATTTGCACTAATCTGACCAAAAGGAAACAGAAATGGAGTTTAAAATGTTACCAATACCAAGAATTATTAATTAGCAGTTATTAGTACAAACTATGCAGTAGAGAGAAATGAACAAATGTCTAAAGAAAAAAGGACAAGGAAAAAAGACACAAAACATTAAGAGTGGCTTACTTTCAGGGCCAGCTGCCTACCATCTAGCACTGCCCTCTCCAGGGGATCCTTTGCCTCCTGAAGTAGATATTTGACAAAAATCATGTACAGGAAGAGATGATATACATAATTCAATTAGTGGATTTGCATTAACCAAAACACTACAGCTGACAGCAAAAACAATCTAAACCCATAGTCAACTTTCACATGTACAGAAAGGATACCTTTAAATCTGCTTTTGCCCTTTTACGGGCTGTTAATAGCTCTTCAAGTATTTCAGGCAGTATTCCCTAAATTTATTCATAACATCAGTGCCTCAACTTCGTATAAGCATTATTAACCTCTAAAATGAAATCAGCAGAGAGCCTTAAAGAAAAAGGCAATGTATTAATTTTTTTCAAACAGCATACCTTCTGCAGATTTGATTTAACAAATGTTTCACCAGATGGAGTTCTGTTCAAGGACTCTGAAGGGATGTTGAGCTTGCGAGCATCTTCAGAAGTCACCTTAAAGAACAGTTAAAATGAAGAAGAAAAAAACTACCAATTGTTACTCTATACAAACTGAACAAATCCAGTGAAATATCCATAATTTTTTCTAATGAAACAAAACTCAGATGCTTTAGCAAAACTAACAAAACAATCAAATATTTACCAGAGTGCAATAACATAAATTATAGGCCATCATAATAGATGGATACAGGGATGCAAAATCTAACGTAGCGATTGGTTTTTCATAAAATCCAGCTCTTGCCTCCAACACCTGCAAGTTGTAAAGTTAAAAAATCATGCACCAAAAGGCAACAGCTTGACGATACTCGAAATTTGAGCATGCTTTCAATATTTTCTTGCGTTAACAGAACAATAGGGAAAAATAACAAGTATCCATGAACAACTGCAAATCTAGAATGTATTAAATCTTTGTTTATAGGCATTCTAACAATAAAAATTCCAATTCATAGCTAAGAACCAAATTGATTTGAGGAAACGTTTAGAGTTTTTCTGTTTTCACAAATAATTAAAGAAATATCATTTTGTTTACTTTTTTTCAAATCTTATACCAGAAATAGTGAATCCTTAAAAACAGGATATAAAAACAGAAAAAACATTTTCTCAAACCAAAACAGTTATAACATTCATTAGTTACAACAGTTACAACATTCATTAGTTGGACAGAATAGACGAATAGGTGTGGGCATTCAGTTTGTATCTATTGAGGACCGAGCTTTAGATTTGATGTGGCAAATATGGGAAACCCTTGTGAAGGGGATACCCTAGGAGATATTTATCATGGTTCAAAATTTATTTTTCAATCAAGAAATTGAATCAGAATAAAATCTCACTGTATAATCGTTCATTATTCAGATTGGATAAAGTAATTTTCTTACCTACTTCCCCTAAACCAAAAAGGCAATGATATATAGCAGAATTGTCTTTCTTTGTTCCAACTGTAAAGTGAAAATACAATATCCACATTTCTACCTAACCAAAAAACTTAAACTTTTACAAAGGTGATTTGTCTATTCCGTATAAGGTAATATATTTTGTTTGGATACATGATAGGTATCTTTAATACTATTTTAGGTAAGGTCTTGAGTTTGTAGAACCTTAACGAGTTACCACAGACTCATATTTGACAACCTTGATGCAATGCAATCTTAAAGTAAAAAGATAATGATGCTATGAGCCTTTAAATTTCCAATTCATTCATCAGTCAATTCGGTATATAATCTAATTTGAAGTGACAATATAAATAAAATTCTCAGAAAACACAAGGCATCAAATAGTTATATGAATGGGTAGCTAATACAATGTATTTCATTTCATATTAGTAGATGCATACAAACAAACATCCATGTAGGGATGTCAAAAATACCCGTACCCGCAAGTATATGCAGATAAAATCCACAAGTAATTAATACCTACAGGTAGCAAGTAGCGGATATTTAAATACCAGTTTACAGACGGGTCTGGTGCAGATTTTTATACTACTCATACCTACACGTATCCATTACCCGCAAAAAGTTAAAATTAAAATTTAAAATTTAATTTATATTTTATTAAGTTAAATTTAATTAAAATTAAATTTTACTTTATATTTAATTTAATTTATATTACATTTTATATTTTTTTTGTAATTTTATTTCAAAAAATTATAAAATATAATTTTTTAAATATCTGCAGGTTTTAAAATACAAGCAGATATTTTTTAAACAAGTATGAAACGGGCACCGGACGGATAGCAAGTAGGCATTATCTGTGCCAACCTGACCTGTTGCCATATGTATGTATAGACATGAAATTGGAAAGAATCTATGAGTAAGACCCATAGATTGCATAGACAGTTAAAATAATGAATATGAAAAAGAAACGAATGAACTTACAGTGGCACCTTCAAATGTTCCTTGTTCAGACCCAACCTGCTTGACATTAGGAATGACCAGATTCTTCTGTCTTGCTTTCCTAAGAAGTTGAGAAAGTACCTGGAAAGGAAGAAAAGAAAACAAATAATTATTGATACAAATTTAACGAGTCAATCATTTTAGTGATTCTAAGCATTGTTAATTAAAAAGGAATTTTGATGCTTACCTTAATGCTTTGGCCTCTGGAAAGTAGAAAAGAAATTGGAACACCTGTTACTCGAGCCATCTCCACATAGTTGTAAATGAACATCAGTTTATCCAAAAGCCGCTGAGGAAGATATGCATCCTGCACATTGACGAGCAGAGTATGAATTTTGAATGGTCGATTTCTCACATTTAGAATACCCATAATGGATTCACCATATCTATTACACAACACTTTAATAGGTTAAAGAACCACAAACAATTCACCCAAAAAAAAAAACCACGCACAATAAAACTTTTCAAAGCTAAATTAGTAAGCATAATAGGATAAAAATATTATTGAAAATTTTACAGTATATTACTGCCATTGTAATATGCCAGATTTCAAATAACATCTGTCATCAGTTGGTTAGAATTAGTTACAGATAGCTTAAGTAACAACTTGGCCAATAAAATTAAGTGGTAAAAAACCTTATTTGCTACACATCAAAAGGATAGATGAAACAGAGCCTTCTTTACAAGTTTCCCAACAGAAAGCCCAGGGCCACCAAATAACATGGAAAATCCTTTCCATTCCATAAAACTAAAAAAAATGCAAACTAAAACTGTGGCTCGAGCAGTCAGATCATAATTTTCATCATCAACTGAGTTACAAAGTAATTATCGCCAACTTCTATGTTTATATCTGTAAAGTTTACTGAACAGTGAGAACTAGATAGGAAAAAAAAAAAA